TTCTGTATTAAAAACCAGGTCAAAACAGCTTGCAATATAAAAAAAACTAAAAATGACAAATTGCTTTTTAGACCCGTGGGATTGATGTCTTGCTGAGATCTTTGCTTTCTTTCTTTTTTTTGCTGTCTGGATTTTTTGGAGTCCAGTCTTATTTTGTTAGTATGGATGTGTGCTGTGTTTCCCGGGGTGTGCTGCAGAATTCTTCAGGTTGCACTGGAAACCCCTGCTCTGGTTAATGGTTTTGCTGCTTTTGTTTTAAAGTGTATTTTACATGCGTGCGGATAGACCGGCGGAATGTTTTCCATCTGGACTGAGTTACACAAAATTAGACTTGTCTTTAAAATGACTAAACAAACGCGTTTCCCCGGCGTGTCCCAGCAGCGGAGTCAGCGCGGCCGGTCCATGAACAGCAGGCGCTGAATGTGCGGCGCTCCCCGGCTCAGCCCGGTGTGTTCTCACACTCTGCACTGGCAGCAATTTATTTATTTCCACCTTTCCTGTTTTCATTTATCACCACTTTCCTTTTTCTTTCTGCCCCCCCCCAGCAGCCTTTTATTAGATGCCGATTTTATGTGCTAAAATATATTTATATAAAATTTCAAGTCAAGTGTGTCTTGTTTATTAGCGTTTCCTGTGGCAAAAATAGGTCAAAGCTATAAAACGGAGCATTTTTTTTTAATGATTTCCCAGAGAGAGTTCAGGGCTGACCTGCTTGTTCTGTACACCAGGATTGTATACATGCAAATTTAACTGCTCCTCCGAGAGCAAATATTCCAATCATAGAGGCAGCAAATAAAAGGCTGAAAAGGGGGGAATTCCTTCATATTTGGAGACTTCTCCCTGTAGATTCAGCTGAGATTTTCCTTTATCGGCTCTCCTGGTCAGAGAAGTGCCAGCATTTTATTCATGGATCCTTCTTTCATTACTATATAAAAGATAAGTATTTATTACACATTCACAACACTGGATACATTGTCACTTGCTCAGCTGGAAAAAGGTTCTAAATTATACAACAAAAAATATTCACAGGAGAAAACAAGGAAATATTTCCAACTGTCCGAGAAGCTAAACTTCAATTAGGACTCTGGACATAAGAAAATGTCATAGTCA